ACAAGCATTTGCATATACGTAACATGGGTTCTGCACTTCCAACTAGCCAGCATTTCACAGAACATAATGTAAAATCAACTTAATACATGTCTCAGACAGGACAGAATAGAGACGCTACAAGACAAGAAGAATATAGAGGCTTTTTCTAGTGACATTTATAACAAACACCGAGAACCGTGGCATTTGTCACGAAAGAACTGCCGGTGGTGGTGTTTCTCGAGCTAGGCATTGTGCATACGACATTGTTCAATTTCTTTTCTTTTATGTGTTAGCTTCTTCGAGTGCTCATGGAACAAACTGGGTTATAAGATTCAGAACTATCATAATAATTTGGTTTTAACATATAGTAATAATAAGATATAGATTTCAAATAGTTTGGATGAAAGTTTTTATCGAAGTGTGTGCGCGTTTTACCCAAATCGAATGAGCAATGTAGCTAATGTTTCAATAAGGACTCCTTGAATATATATATATATATATATATATATATTTATATATGTCTTGAGAAACTGGAGGAACCCATTATGCTATATCAAGATAATTTGAAGATGCAAATCATAGCACAGTACTTTTAAGTCGGCGATATAACTTCTGGGAGTTATCCTATTCAAGTACCTTAAGTACTTCAATCAACTTGCTTTTTCGATTTTAAATTCTCCTCTGATCATTAATATACAACCTAATTAACTAATTTAAATAAATTAAGAATGTTAAGATATGTTAAATCATAGCACAGTATTTTTAAGACGGCAATATAACTTCAAGGAATTATCATATTCAAGTGCCTTCAATACTTCAGTCAACTTACTTATTTGTTTTTAAAATTCTCTTCTAGTCCTTAATATAGAACCTAGTTAACTAATTTAAATGAATTAAAGATGATAGTTAAATTAGTTAATATGATATGTTCTTTCTAAAATACTCCTCCGATTCTAATTATAAGACCCAATTGACTTATTTGAGGAGATTAAGGAAGTAAGTTAAGTTGGTTATTTATAATAAATAAGTGTTGTCATTCCTAAAATATCCTTGTTAATTAAGTATATTGGCTAAAACTATCATTATTAGAAGGATTATCTTGGAAAAAAATGCATAAATATAAGAGACAAAATGGATTGGGTCTTATAATTAGGACCAAATAAAAAGTCAAATTGGGTCTTATAATAAGGACCGGAGGAGTATCTTAAATATCTTCTTTAATTTCCTCCCTCCCTCTTTTATTTGATTATTTCTAGGAAAATACCAATAGGGTTAATTTAAGGGGAAAAAATTGATAAACATGTTAAACATATAAGAACAACATAAACTCCTTAATTATGTCCTTACATTAAGTGGCGGAGGAGTAATTAAGTTTTGCGGATATGAGGGCCAAAAAAGTTTAATTTGGGGCTTAGGAAAATTTAGTTGTGATTTTAGCTGTGGATTAATATCCATGGCTATGAAAGTTTTCTCTCATTTTTTTCTCTTTTAAATTATATTGGCAGTTGTTATTTCTGACTCAAAGATCTAATCTTTAATAATCTTAATCTGGGATCGGATATACAGGAACTCAAATCAATTATCGTATATCGCTGTGCGCATCTTGTATAGGTTTTGTCTCCGATATCTGTCTCAAAACACAAAATAGAAGAAAAACATTACTGAGTCGAGCTCAGTGAGCACAGAATTCTCAGATCAGAACTTTCATCATGAACGAAGATCAAATCGAAGGTAGACGTCAGAAAAGAAGATCCGGACACATGTATTCAAACAAATCAAATAAATGTCATTAAGGGAGTGTTTGGATAGAAACCAAACCATGGTTTCAGAAGTGCTTTTACGGATTACGAAGTAAATATGTGGAGGAGGTTACCTCGTTTTGCAGAAAAGTGCTTCTGAAACCACGGTTTTGGAGCATCCAAACAGGCCCTAAATCGAACAACGAAATTATTGAACAAGGGCTAAAGAGTTTCACCATATGTATTGGGGCTCAACAGCGTGCTGCTTGCTGCGTCTGAGTTGCTCATCCTGATATTCCTGAACATACACACACTGGCAAAATCGACACAGAGGAACAGATCTCGATTAGCTCATTAACTGAAAAGAATGGATCAAGGGAAAACACACTCAGAAAGCCCTGGCTAGCCACAAGCCTCCGTCTCTCTCCCTTCTCTCTCTCTCACTCACGCACACGCACAAACCCACCTGATCAGAGAAAGCAAATGTGAGGGAGGGAAGAAGGGGGCACAACGTTAAATGGAAGAAGAGAAATGAGAAGAGCCGGCGTCGCTCACAGTGACAGACAGCCGTTTTTGTTTGCGAGGATGATTCCTGAAACGACACCTGCACTTGGATTCGTCACAGGCGAAGTTCATGCAGCACTTGGGATTTGCATGCAGTCTTCTTTCTTTCTCTGAGCCAATCATATCTTTCCACGTGTCGCGCTGTTAAAACGGGTTTTAAGCAAATCTGCCCGGCGACGTGAGTCTAAGCGTGTCTGCTCTTCCATACTGAGTGACTTCTACGCGCTTCTTTCGCGAGTGAAACCTCCCTCTTTAACCGTCTTATCAACTTGCTAGGCCCAGCGAGGATTGACTTGTAACTCTTCTTAATTTCCACTCCCGATGAAACCGGAGACCTGAGTTGTGATGTATTTTCAATTCAATATTTAGTTGTCCGAAATCCGAATTTATTGATTTCTTCTATATAATTACAATTCAATATATTATAATTACAATATGTTCTTTTATGTATTTTCCTTTTTATTTTATATTTACCTTTTTTCAACTTCACTTTGTTAGATTTCATATGGTGTTCAATCAAGTTTCCAATTTAAAAAAAAATCTAAGGAATTATAAGGTAGATTATTTTAATTAAACGCTCAAAAATTCGCTGACAATTTTTCTTTTGATAACGATACTTTTTTGTGGCAATTAACAGTCACATAAACCATCAAAAAGTGCGAGCTCTCTTTTTTTAAAAATAAATAAATATGATAGTGAAAATAAATAATTGTCAATATATAAGACAGTTTATAATTGTACGATGTTTTTTTTGTTGGGCCAAACACAAAATATGTTTTTTTATCCCCTACCGAAGAACTCACGCCCGCACATCTCACTGTTGGGCTACAAAACTACCGACTTCTGCTTACACACTTTACGAGCCGTTTGCATTCCGTGCTCATCAACATGATGAGCACGGAGCACTCAAAAAAATTTATATCATCTCAAATTATTAATATAAAAATTATCTTGATATTTAATTTAGTTTTAAATATAATATTCTAATCTACTTTATATCTTATATATATATATATATTTTTTCAATATAGTCCTTATAATAATTGTACGTGTTAAAGATTTAATCAATTGTTGATTTTAGTTAATACACATAATTAGTGAGAGGCATTTTAGAGAAAACAACACTTATTTATTACAACTGACTAATTTAGCTAATTTTTGTAATATACTTGAATTAGTTAAACTAACTCTTATATTAAGAATCAGAATAAGTATGTATTAAAATTATTTTTGGTTAACATTTATCTAGTACTCAAAAATATTTTTTTAGATGTTTTCAATATCTTAAAGTATTTTATAATTTATTTATTACCTTAAAATATTTTTTCACGGGCATTTAATGTTTTAAAAAATTTTCTATTTCTTGATATTGTATCATAAAATATTTTAGAATATTAAAAAATATTTCAGGATACTAAATAAATCATAAAAGACTTTAGAATACTAGATCCTAAATATATTTTTAGGTAAGCCTAGTCACAAAGTATTTTAAAATAATGAACATATATGAAAAAATATTTTAGGTACCAAATAGATCACAAAATACTTTAAAATACTAGATTCTTAAATATTTTTTCAAATGCATTGTCAGAAAATATTTTAGAACACTAAATACATATGAGAAAATATTTCAGGATATGATAAAATATTTTAAAATATTGAATATGTGTAAAAAATATTTAAGAGTATTAGATAAACTTTAACTAAAAATAATTCTAATACATATATTTTTTGTAATTAAAAAAAAAAGGTCCCTCCTGCTCAGCACTCGAAACGTCCATGTTTTGTGTGTTGAGCACTCCGTGCTCATCAAGATGATGAGCAGGGAATGCGATCCCTTTACGAGTAAGTTAAAAAATAACCCAATTCATCTGTCAAGTTTGATGAATAAAAATAAACACCAACTACGTCTAATTTTTAATATAAGAATTAAATAATTAATTTAAAAAAAATTAATTAAGTTTACAACAAATGTGTATTTACTTTTTTAAACTGATTTTTTTATTGATGTTTAAACTGATTTTTTTAATCATATGTATTAATCATATGTATTGAAACTATTTTTAATAAAAACTCTTTACAATTACTAGAGGTGTTTGATAAAACTTATATATTTTAAAAACAAATAAATTAAACTATCATATTTAAGATCAAATTCAATCATATTTTTATCAAGGATCCAAGGTACTCCTCCGGTCCTAATTATAAGACCCAATTGACTTATTTGAGGAGATTAAGGAAGTAAGTTAAGTTGGTTATTTATAACAAATAAGTGTTGTCATTCCTAAAATATCCTTGCTAATTAAGTATATTGGCTAAAACTATCATTATAGAAGGATTATCTTGGAAAAAATGCATAAATATAAGAGACAAAATGGATTGGGGTCTTATAATTAGGACCAAATAAAAAGTCAAATGGGGTCTTATAATAAAAACCGGAGGAGTAGTATTTAACAGACAAACCCCTCTCAAGGCCAAGAGAATTGGGGACAATTTTCACATACGAATATAGAGACATGAAAATTACTTTAGATCGAAACAAAGGTACAGACTACAGAGGCATGAATATAAAAATTGAAATATACGAAAAATAGCGTTTATATATATATATATATATATATATATCAAGAGTATACTTACTGAATAAATCCTATAAAATGGTGGTAAGTACGCAGGTTCCTCTATTTCGATCAGTTAATTGCCAGAAACTATGAGGGAAATAAAAGAATAAAGAATGAACTCTATTTCGCGCTCTCCTTTTAACTTTGTTCACAAGTCGAGGTGAAGTCATGGGGGCGGCAGAACAGGGCAGGTAATGTCCAATTCACTCTATAATCCAACGTAAATAACTTAAGTAATACACATTTTTGTAAAATCAACAGATTTTATATGGCCACACAAAGCATTCAATTTCGAAAGAGCTTTGTTACAGAAACTGCCACTGTGGTCAATCGCCCCCTGATCATCTTTTTCGCGATCTGCGCCGCAGGCTACCACCTAATATTAGTCTGTTCTTAACCGGTTTGACCCATTTTTATGGCTATTGTATAAAGGCAGAAGCCATCTGGATCCATATTTCCTCTTCCCATAACACCGCCAATAAAGAATTAGTAATGACAGCATTACACAAACCGGTATAGCCCATCTGTTCCAAATTCACAATCAACAAAAACTTTCCATCACAAACGTCCATGAAAATGGATAAAAAATTATGCTCATCTAAGATGCAAAAATGTAGGGAGTATCAGATGCGTGAATATAGAAAAGAGTTCCAAGTACCTGTCAAGATCCAAGATTGGGCTGTAAACAAGAGTTTCCCAAGTCGCAACTATAAAATGCCAAACTGGGTTATAGTAAAGTGATTCTGCTGACCAAAACATCCTTGTATATGTCTCCAGAAATATGAAGAGTAGCCATGCTCCAATTTCAATCAAAATGAACTTGATAATAAAGCGGCCAATAACAACCATGACAAGAGAGAACGCCACCAACCAATTGAAAAGCCTGTGGTTGTATTCCTTAATAAATAGAGCCCGAGATTTCTTTAACATCTGTGTATTCATTTGTTAAATCAAGAGGTGTTAAGCATTTAAACGAGTAGAAAATCGGCAAAAAGAAAAAAAATTACGACCTGAAATATTTGTTCATTTTATAGTCATTTGAAAAAATATATATATTTCGGCATGAATTATTCCACCAGTTACCACATAAAAGGTCATTTCCCAGTGCATAGAGAACACTCACTTCCATTAGGATGAATAGAAACTGAAATATTATTTCTTTTCAACGTTCTAAAGCTCCAAGAATTTAAATGTAGCAGAGTAAAAAAGTAAAATAGAAGTTATAGTAACCGACCTTCATCATGCGTTCCTCATAGTTTGTTTTTGACGGCCCAATGCACTCATGCTCAAAACTTTGGTTGCACTGCAGGAAACCTGCATTAAATTTTGCCATGGTAGGAAGCCTGAGAACCTGAAGCTGATCCATTTTGTCCTCACATCTGGTGTACAATGCCTCGCAGAGCTTTGAAGATCGATATTCATTTTGCATAACAAAATTGTTCAACACCTGCATGATAACCAAAGTGGATATAAACCAAAAAATTGTCATACTCAAATTCCCAGTTAGTAGAGAGCAGAGAACCGAAGAGCACCATTTCAATGCTGCTGCTTGATACAATGATCCTGATTGCAGTTCAAAGATATTTGCTGCTATTTTTTTTTTTTTGGTGAAAAATGAGATATTTACTGCTTAAATATTCACCCAAACGAAAATCATAAATTAATCACAAACACAATTGGATGCTGTGAAGCTCTAGAGGCCTCTAACACTCATGTTAGTTTTCTCTAGCTGAGTGTACTCGCTATATCAAGGCTGAATCAGCTACATGCAAAGTCGTAGACAAATCCAACATGGAATGAATGATAAATCAAACAACTAACCCCAAAAAAAAAATATTTATTATAATTATAAAAAAAAAATGCAAATGTTATCTTTTAATTGTATCAATTGTAAATATCCTTTTTAATTTTGAAATTACAAAAACCCTCTTGAATTATTACTCTCCAGGATTTAAATCTTTCAAACTTTTTTAACTGTTGCATAGCACTTTTTTTTTCATCTGCAACTCAAGTTCCACAATTTAAACACATTCAATCTAAAGACCTGGTGGTTAGCCCTCCTGTTCCTAATTTCTCTTCCCACAATCTTGATATAAATGTCGCTCCCAATTCAGAAGCGTGGTATGGGCTATAGGACCAAGGATTTGAGAAGGAAAGCTCACTGGGGCCATAACCCAAAACAAAAATTGATAAAAGATACTTTCTGCTAGCTTTTGCTTCTTAAGTTACTAATTCTCCTTCAGCAGATTATTTTTACGATATTTCAATCCACTACAAAACTGTGAACAGTACCTTCTGAATTTCTTCATCCAGTTGCTCAACTGATTTCTTAGCATGGTGACGTCCAAAATGTTGCTCATCAAAGGCCCGCATTGCTTCCCCTCTAGACTTTTCATGAGCCTCCTGCAATGATTCCTCTGGAAGTGGAAAATGCAATTTTGCCATCCTTTCACTGTATAGCTTTAGACACCTCTCAAGAATACCCTTGTTGAAAACCTCCACAAGGGAACCTGTTGAAGGAATCTCTCCTTTGTTCAAGGCTTCGAGAATCTAAAAAATTGAAATGTGAAAATAAAAATCAAGGTTTAATGAAGATGTACAGAATGAAGCTTCAAGTTCTTACTCTAAGGAGCACATTATTGTCACAACTCATAGCTTTACTCTATATAAAAATAACTAAATATTTAAATCCCCATACCTGCTCCAGAAAGGAAACGAACTGCTTCCCATTCAGTGATTTTCCCTGTACAATCTTGGGGCGAATGATGCTAGCAACAAGCTCTTTCAGTTGCTCCCTTTTCTTAACATATGTTGGATCAAGTTCACCATCCTTCAAGTCACAAAGTTTTGTTCGCTGAAGATGTGGCTGTTTTGACATCCAACATATAAGTAAGTGCACAGGGAGGTGGAACTAGATGAAAAGAAAGCTTAGATAGGTGCTACTTGAAATAACACTTGAATTCATGCGTCAGGAAATTACTTTCAACGCTAAGATCACATTCTTCACAATAACCAAAAATTAAAAAAAAAAAAAAGATGAAAGGCCGTGGTCTTTCCCAACAAGTGTGAGACAAAGGAAAAGGAAAGCGTGTTGTTCATTATCCATAGACCAACAAGCGTGAGAAAACAGAGAGATTGATCAATCGTAATTTTCCATTTTTCATGTCTTGGACGTCATGTCTTGTGTAGTGACAAAACTAGCCTAGACACCATAGCAAGTGCCATAAGAGTTAAATTTGCACAGAAATAGAAGAAAACAATTTAACAAGCCAAGGACAGATAACTTATGAGAACTTCAGTCCAATATGTTTGGCATATGTAGGAGTCTGGACTATGGGTTGGCTTGGAGGGAAAAATGCGCACTCTGATGGAGAAGCCAACAAGACCGACCCCTTTCATTTTGATAGGACCGACCTATTTAAAAATAACTATAAGAGGCGACAGAGGCAGAAGCAAGCAAAAGGCAACAGTCCCTTCTAAGCAACCAGGGAGTTGACTTCTATTTCCTACCTTTTTGGAGAAAGTAGCATACTCTAATGTCTTTTAGGTCTGTGTACTAGGTTATTGTATTTTGGGAGAATGTGCGGTTTACTTTGAATATATTAGCCGTTATAGCCTGAGGGGGGGGACATTTTTGCATGAGAGAATAGTGAGGAGAGAGCTGACCTCTCGAATGTCAGGTCCAATGTATGAGCTGTGAGTGTGTGAACTATTTTGTAACTTCCTATCTCACACTGAGTACGAAGATTGTTATCGATTAATCATATTTGAGCATTATTCCACGGTTAGGGACCATTTTACTGTTTTATTAGCTGTATATCACTGTTTCTGCTCTCGGTTCCTATCACATTTCAACTCAAATACAAAACAAATATGCTTACATCAAAAACTCCATATGTTACACTAAAAGAACTTGAAATGGGGTTGAACAGGGTAAATAATGAAAGAGGTTAGTAAAAGAAGGGCTGGCACATACCTGTGGTAAGCTAAAGGCAGTACTGTTGTCTCCCATGATAGCCAATGAATCCCGGATTTGGTTAACCTGATGAAGTGAACCTCTATTGTTAACATTCACTTTAAGACTTGTAAGACTGAATTATATCAGAAATTAGGTTTCCCAAGTGGCAATACCATATCAATATTTTTGTCCCCTGCAATTTAAGAATAGAAGGGACTACCATTAGACCATTTTTTTAATATGGAAAATCAGATCATAAACATAATTCAGTTTGGTTCTAGCTGTGCACTAACCATCAGTATTGGGAACTCGTCTAAGAGCTTCATTCACTAATTCCTGCACCGATTTACCTTCTGCAGATAATTTGACAAATATCAGTATCAAATCAAGTGCCCGTGATGAGCAGTGGTAACTGCCAGAGATGCAGTACCTCAATATACCAACCTCCCATATTTGTTGTCAGTGATCAATACGATTTTACAAGGATTTTCAGATAGAAGATTCAAAGAAAGAAAGAAAAAAGGGGACAAAAACAATGGCACAAAACTTGCTAGTATATGATCACAAGACAGAACTTGTCGACTTACGTAGAAAATCACGTTGAATAAGCCACAAGAGCTTGGCAGGTTCAAATGCAACATCTTGGCCCTATAAAATTTCCAGTCAATCAAAGATTACATCAACAAGCAAAAAAAATTCATTACAAATTTTATTGGCGGAAGAATAAATCAAAATAAAAGTATTGAGGTCATGCTATACCTTCACTCTGTTCAACCCATAAACATTGCGCATTTGAACATGAAAAGGTTACAAATCAAACAAACAAGTTAGTAAATGCAATAATACAAAGGGATGAGGAAAACTATTTAAAAAAGTAATAATAATAATAAACTATGAAACCAACAAACACACAAGTTTCACGAGAAGCAAACCTCCCATAAAATTCTTCAGCAAGCTCAACCGCAAAAGACAATCGAGAGATGTCAGCTTCACGTATCTGAAAAATGATTTAAAATAAGATATCTGCTTATTATCAGCTAGAAGATCCTATAGCATCCACCGAGCAATTGAAAGTTAAGACCCCAAACCAGGAAATTCACCCATGCACTTAAGTTTCCTGTAAGAGAAAAGATTTGTGCTCGCTAGTTCAAAGACAAAAGGTATTCCCACAATTGTCTCAGTTTTTTAGCAATTTTCAGATACAACATAGGAGAGGTCTTTCCTCCACAACAGAGCATCATTATTTGTCGGACTGAGGTTCCTGTAAATCCTTGCAGATTCCGCTTAGACACCAACACCCCATCAATCAAGAATTTTTGCTCATTGAAAATAAGTTATCATATGAGGATTAGAGATAAAGTAACTCTATTCTCTTACAGCAAAGCATATTTCAATCGATTTTTAGACCAGATCCCCAAATCCCTTCTCCACACTCCACACCTTCCAATACATACCTATGCTGTCAGTTCATGCAGCAAATATGATGTCTCGCTTCTTTTAAACCATAACTAAAACTAAATGATATACAGAACATGACCATTCCATTATACAATTTGTAATGCTGCAAGTTAGTCAAAAACACAACAACAAAAAGGCAGAATGACATAGTAAATTCCATGGAAAAGTCTAAAGAAGCAAAATAAACACAAAAATTAAGGGCCCTTCAAGTCTGGGAAAGAACGAGGCTAACTTTTTGTTGAAAGAGCAAGAAAGGATAATACAGCTGACAGAAATCGAAACATCATTAATTAAATTTTTCCAAACAAAATAAATCAAGTAACTAGTTCCCTAATAATTAAAAATAACATGAACTGCCTGACTCCTCATGAAACAATAATATGTGGGCTGAATTCCTGTTTGATTAAGACTTCTGATAAAAATATGGGCCACCAGTCCTACATCAGATAATACCTAAAAAAGGCACTTAGAGGCTTAGAGCCCAACAAGTTTATGCTCTACAAGCTTTTTCTAACTTGTTAATTCTCAGAGTACAAAAGAGTTGTTCATATGTCCATCAAACAAGATAAACAAGAGTACTGAACATAAATTTTCACTAAAAGAGAGGCTGGCAAGTGGAACTTACTGTCTCAGGCAGATTATAGATAAGCACAGAACTTAAGACAGTTGCTAGAGCAAATATCCTGCAAGAGAAAAGATCAACTTAAAAATAGTAATGACTATTAACGCATACAAAGAACTACATGGCCTGTCTGCAAATACCTATCATCATATACGTTTGACTTCCCAATGCTTTCGAATCCTTCTGTATCAAGGTAAAAGACAGAAGTCCTTACCCCGTCAATATCCAATTCTATAGGGGTTCCCCAAACCCAAATTCCTGTATGATAGAAGCCAAAAGAGGAAAAAAGATATATTACAATTAATATCTAAATCTATTAAGGCATTATTATGAGGAATAGGTCAATTTCCACCCACCTTTTGTCTTGGTGTCACGCATGTGTCCAACACCAAATCCTACCAACATACCACTTAAATCAAAATACAGAAAGCCATCAAATCTTCCAAAGAAAAAAAAATCCACAAAATGCTAAAATTGAAGGTAAACTACAAGCAGCTATAAAAGATGGACCTTCATAACAAGAAAGAGAGAGAAGTTGATTGAGAAGAAAAGATTTTCCAGAGCGATATGGCCCAATCACCTGATACACAAAGATTCCCCGAGCATGAAAATAGAATAAGGGGCAAAAATACACACGCACTCACTCTGATGCTTAACTTCAAATAGTAAAAACTACGATGAACCAATACAGAAACACTTATCTCCAAACTCTTATAATATACAGATGTTCTAGTAAAAGAGAAAAAAATGAAACCCAATGTTAAAGTAGCATTCAAACTTACACCCACAGCTGCGATTGGGTTTGTTATTCTCTCAATAACTTCCAACCCTTCTCTTGAAAGACGAAGTTTTGTATGACCAGGATCAGGTTCCACTATAGGAAAGCTGGGCACAGGAAAGGGGAAATCAGAAATAAGGGACGCTTAAAGCAGAGCATGAAAAGGGAAAAGAAGCCAGTTACACTGAATCTAACAGGAATTTAGTGGCAAGAAACTCAGGAGTAAGATGTAAGCCAGCAATGTGACATTCACGGGAAGTTAAAAAAGTTTGATCGGTGAAGTTGATTAAAACAATTCAATTATTATAAACCAATCCACCATAATGGGACTTGAAAATGGGGTATCCAAGTTCATGTATCACTCAACCATTATAATAATGTCCTCGGGAAGCAAGGGTTACACTCATCTGCAGTTGTATAAATTACAAGCTACCTCCAGACTTTGGCAACCATCACTGACACCATCAGGTCAAAATTAGGCCCAAGTGGATTGTGTTTATAGTGTTACTTTTGAAGAATACAATCACTAAAGCAAAACAACAGAAATATTCAAACTATTGACCAACTTCCCCCTCTGGTTGGCATCAAGGAAACCGCAATAATGCTTCTGGAGTAGGCATGACTTCCCTTTTTCCGAAGGTAAAGATTGACTTTGCCAAAGGTATTGTCATAACACGGCTTAGAACATTTTTATCATCGTTTCTTCTATGTTATTCACATAAATTCAACCTTTCACCTCCTAGGAAGTAAAGCCAAAACGTTTAAGACCATTTTGTTTTTTGTATCTCATAGAATAACAGTTCACTTCCCATCACCCCAATAAGGAAAACGAAAACGACAAACCAGAATCTAGCATTTTAAAATTTTTAACTTTTTTCAAGTACGAGAACCAATATCAAATCTTGTGAACTTTAATAGTCACTGGCGACCAGATCTCGGAATTAAGCAAACTTTATAAAAGAAAACAGAGGTCAATCACTTACGCTTGATGAAAATTCTCAATCGAGAAAGACCAGGAAGCGAAGAGGCAGAGAAGCAACAAAACAACCAGGAACCTAGCAGGAGTGTCCATGGCAGAAATGCTAAGACCCGCTATCTGCCAAACGCCGAAGAACTAAGAAGGCAAAAGGAATGGAAGTGCAGAGGCGAAGCAATCATAGGGAGATTAATGTAGCGAGTGCTGAAAGCAACCGTAAGATAAATGCGATCTGAAGGAAATCCTCGAGAGGGGTGTACGTTAAGAATCATGCACCCACATGGAATGAAGGAGAGGGAGAAACTGAAATACGTGGAATTGAGTCTGGCTATGAGGCGGGGAGGATTTTCTGACTGCTTCAGGTGTTGAACATTTGTTCGGAAAGCCAAATGGTCCGAGAGGCCTTGACACGGCTAGTTTTCCTGGGTAGCTTCTCTTGCGAAACTGAACAGAGTAGAATAGCCAACAGGGGAATGGATCTCAATTCTGGTTCAAGGGAAACGAGATTGAAAACGGGCCTGTCCGGTTTTCAGCAAATTATGGATGATCATTCCAAATAATAAAATATTAGATTCATAATAATTGCAAACGAATTAAATTATTATTTGAAGATTTTGAATTAACTTGTTATTCGACACAACTTTAATTACCATATGTGTTGTGCTTGATTATTAATTTTACATTTTTAATTCGTTTTATTAAATAAAAATATTTAATTAATGATGATGCTCTCGGAGTTTCTAAAAAGAAAAAGTCCAGTATTTAATTAAACAACTCAAAATATAAGCTGCATCACGAAAAATGGCCCGTTTTTCCATCAGAATTTAATGCCCCGGGATGGCACCATCACCACGCCAATGTTCTGCAATCTTGACTTGTTGACTTGGACGCAAACTTGTGGGATTGGACATCGATATACCAATTCGATCGGTCGAGGCGACCAAAATAGCAAAAACAAAATACGTATAATCAGGTCCACTGGGAAAGGAATCCCCGTGTCCTGGATTTCATGGTGTTTTAGCTATTCGATAAGCTTTTCTGTTAGAATTTATTATCGTTTGATTGACTGATAACATATGATTGACATTACTATGAGTTTGCAGTTTCTAGAATTAATATTATTTCAATCTCAATTTTGATAATGTTGTTCCTCTAATTTAACATTTAACAAATTCTGAGACAATTGTGGGCATATAGACCCAATGATTAATTATTATTCATTTCGTCTATTTCGGACCGAATACAGTTATTTTTTAGGGCAAAAATTTGAAGCCCATAAACACAGGACTCCAGTTGTCAAAAAGCAAAAATCAAAGAGCAACAAACACTCAACTTAAGGCCCACGAGCACGTGCATGTTACTGGGCCTCATCTTTCTACTAACCCCTTACTTGAAGAATAAAATAAACAAAAACACACACTCCATATCCTTCTCCAGACTTGGATACGAACAGACGGCCCACGAAGAGCCACAAACGAACAGCCCATTCTCCGTTTAAATAGACCGCTTCTTCAAACGGAAGGCCCGTCTTTACGTCAAACCGAACCCGGAGTCCTTTAACGCCCCGTTTCCGAGGGAGAAGGTAAAACAAGACATGCACCCCAATAATGTCCCCGAAAAAATAAATTAATTAAAATTTTCCACAACTAAGTTCATTTCTTTAAAAATCATGATGACACTTTCGTTAGGAAAATTAGTATAATGTTACCTCCGGTCCTTAATACTGTATTGTTGTGGGAACTTATGCAAAGCAGTGAAAAATAATATTGAAATTTTAAGCTCGTGCGGGTTCAAGGGGGAGGAAAGAGGAATAGAATGGTGCTGCGACATAGGGAAAGGCGAATGAGGTAAAGAAGGAAGAGGGACATAGACAGAAATTAAATAAAGGGAAGGAAAGGCACTCAAACGTGAATGGGTGGATGAATGGTGTCCAAGTGTGTATTTACAGCATTCGAATCTGAACCACTCGACACATCGTCGGCTTCTTTTGCACCGACACAGCATACAAAACTCGTAATTGCAAAATTTGAATCCCCACGCACACTCTTCGCATTTAGCATTTCAAAATGGTAAAAAAAAAAACCCTCGACTCTCACACCAGATGGAATCCTTCCCTTTATTTCATTTCCTCTTTCTCTCTTCTTCCTTATTTTGCTTTTTGACCGCAACGATCGAGAATGGTCCCTCCCTATTTCTGTGGTCCACAATGCGAACGGTATAAAGAGTTGTATGCCTTGCCTCAGTACAGGACAGTTCAGATATAATCATGATGCAGTCATCTATTTGTTTAGCTACACTGTGCTTCCCTGCTCACCATATATATGTATGCATGACCTTATCTTAACGTTCTTTCCACACATGATTATCCGTGACATTGACAAGTAATTGGTTCTTTGTGGGTTCTAGAGATCCGGACAGGAGTTTTTGAAATTTTGGGTATGCCCATGCATGTGGGCAATACAATTGTTTTTGGTCCTTTCTGGGAAGAGGACAAGAAAAGGAAGAACTCGCTAGCATTAATCAGAAGAGATGTGGTGAGTAAGCAGGTGACGAAGGGAGATGGATTGTACTAAAGTCCAGAGCTTAAAAGACAAGATTATTGACTCGGGCAGAAGCTGCTTATGGGTAGCGCCCTGGCCTTTCCGAAAAGGCGAAGATACGTGCCTGCCTCGCCTTGCTTTCAACAAGCTGCAACTTCGAATTAATTACGGACCTTGGACTTCTTCTGGCTGAGAGATAAAGAAAATCTGACAACCTTTCCGACACCATTTCGAAATACTATGTGACGCCAAATCTAGCCACAAATCCTTCCCCCGCAACTTTCTTTTTTCTGTATATAATAACTTTAGCCTTCAGTTTCGTGAAACATGTGACGATAATAAATTAAAGATTGTTTAGACAGCTATTTTCCTTTACCAAGATCCATGTTTAGCTATGTTCCGTGAAAGTTTTCGTACACAGCGGCAAGTATGAATCAGCGTAAAAGGAATAATAGTGCCATTTGGTTCCCGTTTGCCATTTTTCCAAACTAAATGAAGGAAACTCGATCATTTCAAATGGTTGAATTTGAATTTGCATGGGGCTGGAGAAAAACACTTTGAAGACGATAATGAATCGTTTAAATTTGCAAAAGAAGCGGCAGCATTGGCAAGGCAAGACGACGCGGAGGTTGAAAACTAACTAAAAAGAACGGTGAGTTGGGTTAGATATTATGGGGTAAGTAGGTGAGACGTTGATTCCGAGAGGTAAAATAACTGCATCTTTCCTACGCTATTGAAGCTGAAGTCACGCCCCAACAAACTTTCCTTTTCTACTTTCGATTCTCTTACAGTGACAACCGTCCTTTAACGTTGTTAACGGTCACACGGGTAGCTACTGATGGATAGCGCCAGGTGAGAACCAGATCAGCTAAGGCATCGCTCTGAATTCTTCTAATTAATTATAAATTATATTAATCTGGTATTTTGTATTCCGGAGTATATTGATGCCGATGGAAAAAAAGTCAAGTGGCATGAAGTAGTTACAACAATTTTTTTAAAAAAAAAGTACCCAAAATCATAAAATGTCTCGCGTGCCCGTGGTGCAAGGAGGATGATGCTTCCTCTCCTTTGTTTGGGTCTGCGGGGTGGGATGCTTCGATGCAATAGTATACTGATGTTAGGTTTTAAAAAAAAAATACTGGTATACTGATGCACTGTGGTTAACTGTGGTGAACATTTAATCCAAAAATACTTGTAAACTTGTTTTATATAAATTGAGATAAAAGTTCTCTCGTATATCTATCTCAGTTAGTATGAGGTCTCCCAAACTGTAGTTAACTGTAGTTAATATTTAATCTAAAATAATATTTTAAAATATTTAGAAACACATTTCATATACATCAGATAAAATTCTTCTTACGTCATGTAACCGATCCCTGCCAAACTGGAGGAAACGGAAAAGCAATGCACAGTTTCCGAGGCTCTATGTGGCGACTGGGGCTGGTACGAGGCCAGCAGCCTAGCACACGACAAAAGCACCGTTGCATGATCCGCAAACACCAAACGGCTCTCTGCCCTTCGCATTTTGTTGACCCGCCTTGTTTTCCTTGGGTTGCAAGTGCAATGAAAAGATGACCAAGGTGAATTAAAAAAAAAAGACGACTAAGGATTTTAAAAATACGGTTCAAATAAAGTATATAAATTAAATTATATGGAGTTTGAGAGGCCAATGTGATTACAATATTCATTTTATGTTTTATATTAACTGTCTTTAAAATTTTTGAAAATTAATATGGTACATTCATTCAGTTTTGAAAAATAAATGAGGAAAAATGGAAAATAAAGAGAATACTACAAAGAAAAAAAATTTAAAAAGAAAGAAAGAAAAATTACTATTTGTTATTAAAAAATTTATTAATATTCTCTCTCTCAAATTTTCTTCACTCTACTCTAGTCAGAGTAAAGTGAACGGAATGATTCTCGATTGTCTTGAGCGCAGCTCTGTCTTTGGAGTTAGTGGGTAGGTCGCTTTCAAGCATCTGTTGCTCGTCTTCCATGTTAGCAAACGGGTTCATTTCCACTCCATTTGCATTGCGCAGGCGCGTAGCAATATGTTGAAACTGGAGAAGGGGGACGCAAGTTTCCGCCAGCAGCACGACTTCTCATTCTCTTGCAGAAAAAAGTTTATTTGAAAAAGAATACTTTAAAAACTTTTCAAGTAAATTAATGTCGCTTCCATGGAGCTTTGTATTTTGTTACAATATGAGAAACAAGATAATTTAAATTTAGAAAGACCAATTAGACATCGGGAAGGTTCACCAAAAGAGCAAGTGCAGCTCAGTATCAAACGCTAAATATCAAATTCTCATTTCGATAACCAACTTTATTCATTCATATCTATTATATCAGTGATAATTCCATCCCTTGCATTAAAAATAGAAGGGAGACTCAGGACTGTGGCTTCCCGGGGAAAAAAAGGGAAAGTGAAAACACAGGCGAACATAGTTAATAGAAGCTGCTACAGCCTCCAGTTACAAGATTGTATAACTCCTGATTAGTAAGAAAGGACAAAATTTTATGGGCGTTCATCCAAGACAGCTGATAATCCAGTCACGACCTTGAACCCAGAAATCTTGGGCTTGAGGTGTATCACATCAGGTGGCTTCCATTCCATCACCTCCTTCCCCTTCTCATCCTGCCCGGAAGAACCCTTAGAAAAAACCAACGCCGATCCATCCGACTTCCCACCGGCAGAATTTCCCATCAAAGCCTCCTGTTTCTCCCGCGTCTCCCCGATTTCCTGCAAGCAAAGCACCGGCGGAGTAACTCGAGTGTGAGGGGAGAGCCACTTTGCTTTCACGTATTCGGCCTTCCTCCACGGCGGAATGTGCATGCCTGTCTTCTTCAAACTCTGCTTCGCTGCGTCCGATACAATAGCTATAATGCTCTGCAACCGATCCGACTTGCCGACGAATATGTACGGAAGGGTTTGGAGAATCGCCTTATAAGACTTGGTTGATCGAGCAATTTCGAATTCTGATCTGAAGTCGATGTCTATTATCACTCGTTCGTTTTCGATGATCACATCTATGTACTCATATTCCCCTGTAAAAGATTGTCCACATTAAAAATATCAATCAGACTGTAACCAACACACACACATATATATCAATCAGACGCATGCATGAATCTTTATCTTAGTTTGAACGAAATCCCTGGCATGCATACACATACTGAAAAGTTGAAACAACGATGTTCTGAGAGAAAGATTCTGTTCCTAGCCAGGCCGAGTAATCTTTTTTTTGGATCCGTTTTTCCAGGTTGTTTAGCACCCTTTGTTTGCTCATGTATATATTAACAGAAACCAAACAGAGCTCAGCGACATTTTTCCGATGTAAAATAGAATAAAAAGAGAGATTACCTGCGAGATGAAGGGGTGACTTTTCCCATCGAGATTTGCATATCGAGGCGTCGTATCCCAGGGCCAACAACTCGTCAGTAACAATCTTTCGGCAGAGGCCATCTCTCCGCTTGCAGATCTTATTCTTCTCAACGATCTTCGCAGTGTCTGCCAACAAATTCCTTTCGCAAACACTTGCACAGGCCACCAAACCCTGAGCAGTGTAAGATAAAGTGTTAGAAAAACGCTATTCAACTGCAAAAACCACCAAATAGCTCGTTTATTTCAAAGACAGGAAATAACTAAATCTGATTAAAACGCTCAAACCTTAAGGACACCAGACGCTTCGCCATTGGAAGAATACTTAGAGTCACCGAACGCGTCCCCGTCGTCGTCAGGGCAATCTTCACAGTTTCCGTTGAAGCAGTTGCAGCGGTTACGTACACACCTGACGGAAGTGGAGTGCTTCTCCTGATTATCCTCGATAAAATTCTGCACCATTTTCGCAAGGCACAAGGAATTCGGTTCGAAATCACTGGAGGCATTGAATCCGTCTTTGCCAAAATGCGGCTCATCTCCGGCAATTTTATCAGCCGCCGAATTCTTCAGAACGCCCGGGAACTGGCGCTCAAAAAGTCGTTTAAGGCGTGACTTCACAACCGGCTTGACTTGATCAAGCCCAGGTCCCTCCGCAGGGATGCTAGAATCGATTGGCTGAACTTTAGTATGGAAGGGCATGACTCCAGATCAGGGCTCCTCAATTCGCCTTTACCATATCCGAAGCCCGGGCTTACGTTTGAATCGGTAATTGAAAGAAAAAACCTTCTCGCGTCTCCGCCTCTAATTTCCCATTCGATGACAAAATATCAAGTAGTTAACCGAGAACCAAAAAATTATGGAAGAGAGAAAGGAAGAAATAATCAAAAGCAAGTGTCTCTGATTTTCTGCTACTGATATAGTTATACTGCCATAATGATCCTCAGGTTTACGACAAAAAGCATGGAATGACTTGAAAACTCTGCTAAGCAAGTACAGTCGCTTTTGCTTAAGCTTTCTCTCAGTTACGGCTAAAGTTCCGAAATAAGCGCCGGCACGATAAAATTAGGTGGATCCTCGGGAAATCCAAAGCATCAGCAATCGCCGGGGCCTCCATTCCAGCCGTCGCATCAGTCGAAATTTCCGGCGAGAAGGGAAGCCAGAATAAGAGCCTAGATTTTGCGCTGTTTATGGCGATGGCTTCTTCCAGAGGGAGGATAAGGAGCAGATTAGAAGGCAGAGGCGACATTTTAAAGGCGAGCAAGGGAAGGGGAAATGGGATGACAGGGACGAAACTGCCACCTGTGAACCTACGTGGCAAGCAGTAAGAAAAACTGGTGTGGGGATGCAGGGTTGCTAGGCCACGTTATGGGATCGTTAACGTTGGGGAAATTAAATACCGAAAATGCCATCGCATAATGCGAAGGATCAGAAGAGAGCACCCCTCGTGATGCGAGCGCATTGGAAAGAGAAGCCCATGGTGATGGCATGGCATGGGGAGGGCCCAGGGGGAAAAACCCACTCCTCGGGATGACAGTGTTACAGTGTAGCGCGTGACTCTTCGTTCACGAAAATGCCCCCAGTTTTCTGAATGAGTATCTTCAACGGGGGCCAGCATATCATATGGGTCAAGGAGAAAGTAAGCATGAGGGCAGTACAGTAATATACAAGTTATGCGAACTCCCAGGTATTCCGCATTTTGTAAATTGCTTGGGCGTGAGCAACCGAAACTGAAAACGGTGGTTGTACTTTTATCTATTTTTTATTATGCTTGTAACACTTATGTGAGTTTGTTTATTGTTTTGTTTTTTTTTTAATAAAAAAAATCTCTTTCTTTTGGAATTTACCGGGGTCGAAGCATTTAAATTCCTAACTTTATAGGTTATAAGTTTATTTTTTATCAACTGTATTATTGGTTAAAAAAATTTCTTTCTATTTATTACCTTATCAGCACTGATGGTGTTGGCACTGTATTAATTGAAACTGGTGCAATGTTTAATTTTAATTGTTAGCAGTTTTTTTAATCCCAAGAGATGTTAGCGCTTACTACTACTGGTTAATATAAAGGTTAATTAAAAATTTAATTTAGTCTTATATATAAAATCTTAACTTATTCTATTTTTAATATTTATTTATTTTACCCATTTGTAATTTCTATAACGATTGCACATATGATTGATAAGATATTTTAAAAAATATGAAATTTATTTATTAGAAATAATTAATTTAACTAATTTTTTTAATATTTTAAAAATTAATTATTTAAATCTTATATTAAATATCCTGACATAATTCCAATTTAGCAGATGGGTCGTGGTTCTCTATTATCCTTTTTTTATGTGATCTCTATTTTCTTTATCTTCACCTGTTTTATATTTTTCATTAAAAACATAAAGATGATTCTAAATATAAAACTCTAATCCACTTTGTTTCATATTTATTTATTTATTTTAAGACATTCCTATATATAATAGTAGTTCTAACAGATCTACTTGATTAGAAAGATATTTTAAGAAAGATAATATTTATTTATTATAAATAACTAACTTTTTAATCTATTCAAATTAGTTAATTAGTTTTACATTCAATACTTGAGATAGCATGCATATATTCTCACTACTTTCTAGGCGTTGGTTAAACCTTCTTACAAAACATTAGTTAAACATGTGTTTGGAAATTAAAAGTGATATATCAGTTACCTATTTTAACTTTATCAAAAATATGATTGGAAGATTTTTTTTTAATATATCCTGTATTTAAATTCTCTCTTATTCTTCATTCAAAAAACTATCATTAATTACTATGTGAATTTTTTTATATTTTGAATCAAAATTTTCATTTTGTATCTGTGTTATGGAAAGTAAGCATCTCTTGCGAATTGCCTATGGCCAAAGTAAACGAAACTGAAACGATGGTTTGTGTAGGTGATATGCCTCCATTGCCCTCGGAAAGATGCTGTTTTCTTCCCGTGGAAGCGGCGTAAGGACTGAGGGTGAGCAGTTGTTGTAATTTAAAAAATAATAAAGATTAATTAAAAATAATAAACATGTGAAAAGTAATTAAAAATAATAAACATGTGAAAAGTAAATATGATCTGCTTAAAGAAACAGGTCACGAAAATCTCCTCCCTAAACAGAAGCCAGATCCAGTGATTCCTGTCATCCAACAATCCATCCCGTGTATAGCAATGATGGATCCGTATGAGCAGGATTTTCCTCCTCTTGAAAGAAGAACCAACAGAGAAACAAAGGTTACAGCAAGACCTTTCTCTGTTCCAACAGAAATCTCTCCTACTGGTGAAGCTAGACCAGTCTCAGCAGCAGAAGAAGTTCTTAACTGGCAGACCCAGAATGCGATCGGCCAGAATAGAACTCTGACAAAGATTGATTCAAAGCTTGACTTGCTGACTCTCAGAACTGATACTCTGACGAGCAGGCTTGACCAAGTCTCTGATCAAGTCAAACAGCTTTATATGACTCTAACTTCTCAGGCTTATCAACTGGATGCAGATCTGAAGAATTTATCGAAAAGGGATACATTGGACCAGAGTTTACCAGGAAAGAGCAAGAACTGTCACAAATCCGAAAGGATTTACAAAGAATCGAGTCAGATATAGCTAAAGATCATTCACAAACCATCTATGACCCTTATCCATCTTACCCCTCTAGTTTTCAACTCCCCACATATCCAGCATCACCTCCTTCTTATCCCAGAGAATCTGATTACAGCAAGGTTTTCAAAATGTCTTATCCTATTTTAAGACAATTGAGAAAACCCCGACAACCAACTCTTTCACCCATCCAACCAAACCCTCCTCCCAAACCTCCAGTACGACCACCTCATTTCCCTTCATCTGAAAGACTTTTCTACCCATCATCCTCATATACTAAACCTATTGAACCAACACCGTCCTCTCAAGGAGTTGTGATAAGAACTCCACCATCATCTCCACCAAAACAAACTCCTCCTCCAGACAGAGAAAAAAGAAAAGAAGTTGCAGATCCAAACAAAACCATAGCCACTTTCCAAACTGTGGATAAAGATCAGTCATCAACAGATGGAACCTCTGAACCTGAATCTGATTCCTCTATTGAGTACAGTTCTAACTCTGATCCGGAGATATATCATGCTGATATCTCTAAAGTAGCAATGGTCCAGCCAGATCCCACAGTTGAAGATCCTATTGATGAAGACCCATCTGTTCCTCAAACACCTGAGCCAAGAAGAACAGACTATAAACCTACTACAGGTCCATGGTTCACTTTTGATGATCTCCCTCCAGAAAAATGGAGAGACAGACTCCATGAGTTCGGAGCATGGATTGACCTGCAGCTTGCCAGGCATGATGCAACTCTTGAGGAAGTTCTTACAGAATTTCTCTCAAGACTAACAGGAACATTAAGAGAATGGTATCAAAGTCTCAGCGATTACCAGAAGATAGCAGCAGCCAGAGTTGATAATGCAGGAACTCTCCTAGGACTCATTCATAAGGAATTCATTGGTGACTTCCAGATCATTAACAAAAGGCATCGCCAAGAATACTTTGAGATGAAATGCTGCTCTTTAGACAAAAGAGACTTGCAGAAACATTTCCAGAGAATGTCTGAAAAATACTACATGCTTGGAGGAGCCAATGATGTCAATCTCAGGCATACTTTTATTGCCTCTCTTCCAGATGAATTACAACCAGAACTTCATAGAGCTATCAATGCACTCCATAGAAACATGGCTGACATTTCCATTGGAGAAATATATCAGTTGGCATTAGCAACTGTGGATAAGCTCTGTGAACAACAGAAGTTCTTCAAAGGAATGCTGAAAGGACAGTCAAAGCTCAGGCATGCATGCAAGAAACAACATCTGAAAATAAAGTGCAAGGATGATAAAGATTGCTCTTGTTCTACCAAGAGAAAATCTCACTATCGTCGATTCAGATATCCAAAGGGTTCTTACTCCAGGAGAAGATCCAGAAAGCCTTTCCTGAGATACTTCAGGAGGCGCAGACCTTACTCAAAGAAATCTGACAGGTGCTACATATGCAAGAAAAAGGGGCATTTTGCAAAAAATTGTCCTAACAAGACAAAAAAGGATGTCAAAATGCTAGAACATTTGCAGACTGTTCTCATGATCAATGAAGATGAAGATGTAGAATCCGTGATCGAAGAACAAGATGCTCAGGATGAAGAGACACAATATATTCTTCCTTACTCTGAAGATGAGGAAACTGATTCTGAATCCTTTTCTCAAGAAGATGATAGTCCTCAAGGGTATTTATATTCCCTTGAACAGCCTGTGCATCCGTCTCCTTTCCTTGGTTCCGTGGCTTCTCAGCCAGAACACAACAAAGTCACTCTTAAGCCAAATGTCAAAATTCATATCCTTCCAGGAAGATATGAAAAGCCAATTCCTGTTATTGCCTTTATTGATACTGGAGCATGCAGAACCATCATGAATCCTGATATTCTTCCCCCTGAAGCATGGATCCCTTGTGATCAACTTTTCTTTACTGCTGATTCAAAGCCCTTCAAGATTGAATGGATAACTCGCAGGAAGATTGGTATTCAATTCTTTCCAGGATGTGTCCTATGGATGAAAGTTCTTGGTAGTGATCTCCCTGGAAAAGACATTCTTATTGGATTTGATGCTTATAATCATACTAGGAATCTTCAAGTCCTGCCTAAAGGAATTAGATATAAAAATTTCTTTAGTGCATATACTGAAGTTCCTAATCTCTTTGAGATCCAACAGGCACCACCAGGATATGAAGATATTCGAGATCATCTTCTCAAGTTTTGTGCTGATAATCATCAACAGTTCTCTCATCCATTTCCATTATGGAAAAACCAAGAGTTTTTCATAAAACTCCCCTTCAAGAAAAATGAAGACATCAGCCCCACAAAGGCCTCTCATCCAGGAATGAATCCAGAAGATCTCAAGCTCGCTAAAGAGGAATGTGCTGCACTTCTCAAACAAGGCCTTATTGAACCAACAAAATCTAATTGGGCTTGTCAGGCATTCTATGTTGAAAAAAGATCAGAAATCAAAAGAGGGAAGAAAAGGTTAGTCATTGACTATAAGCCTCTTAATATTTTTCTTCAAGATGACAAATTCCCTTTACCAAAGCCCAGTTCACTTACAGTCCATCTTAGAGATGCAAAAATCTTTTCCAAGTTTGATCTTAAAGCAGGATTTTGGCAATTGGGTATCCACCCAGAAGATCGACCCAAAACTGCTTTCTGTATTCCAAATGCCCAATACCAATGGACTGTCATGCCATTTGGGCTTAAGGTTGCCCCATCACTATTCCAAAAGGCCATGACCAGAATCTTTGAACCTATGCTTGATAACCTCCTCATTTACATTGATGACCTTTTACTTTTCTCAAAAGATGAGGACTCCCATAAACTTTTATTGACCCAGTTCGGGGAAATAATTGAAAAATACGGGATTATGTTGTCGGCAAAGAAAGGTGAAATAGGTGTCAACAGCATAGAATTTCTTGGAATGCATTTTGAAAATGGTCAGTATTATCCTGGACCACACATTGCAGAAGAATTACTCAAATTCCCAGACGATAATCTCACCACAAAGCAAATCCAACAATTTCTGGGGATTATTAATTATCTTCGGGATTTTATCCCTCATGTGTCAAATCATACCAGCCAGCTGTCCAAACTTCTCAAAAAGAATCCTCCCGCGTGGGGGACAGAGCAGACCTCAGCTGTCAAGACCCTCAAAAGAATTGCACAGCAACCACCTCCTTTAAAGATCCCTGACAGAGGATTACGAATCCTCCAGACTGATGCTAGTGATGACTTTTGGGGAGCTGTCTTAATTGAAGAGATAGATGGAAAGAGATTTTACTGTGGACATGCAAGCGGACAATTCAAGGAGTCAGAAAAGCATTATCATGCTACCTACAAGGAGATCCTTGCTGTCAAAAGAGGAATCGAGAAGTTCAGCTTCCATCTCAGTCCTTATCAATTCAGAGTAGAAATGGACAATACGTCTTTTCCAAGAATGCTTGATCCCAAGGGAAAGACCTTGCCAGACAGCCAGTTACTCCGATGGAAAGACTGGTTCTCTCGCTATAAATTCACCGTTCATCATCTCAAAGGACACCAGAACATCATAGCAGATTTCCTCACAAGACCTCAGAAAGTTTCCCAGCCTCCAAAACTCCTGTCACTCTCCAGACCTCAACCTCTTTTCATCCTAACCATCTCTGAACCAGAAATGCCTCACAGAATGAGAGCCACCATTTTCCCTCCTGGATCCCGTCCTGAATCTCCAGCAGATGTCCAAAACCTTGCCAGAAGTACTATGTTCTACTGGCTCCACCGTGTTTTTGTAGATACTGGAATCCACCCTTATCCTCAGCACTTTGATGCCGATGCTCCTTACCTCACTGTTCCCATTATCAAAGGACCCATACCAGAAGAACTTTTATGGTACATCTGGTCTGTCTCAGCCAATTATACCTGTGCCATAGCCTTCTCAGCTGTAGTCGTCCATGACCACCTGAATGACATCAGAAATGAAAACTCTCCTCTTACCACACTCTTTGAGATGATAGCTCCTCTTCCCTACTGGAGAGGAAAACTCTGGAAAATTCTCAAAGAACATAATATTTGGGACTTACCAACTCCCAAACAAAAAAGGTTTTTCTGTCTGTATACCTTTTTCAGGAACTATGGAATAAGTGCTAACCAGAGGCTCTACACAGACAACCGTCTGATCCTCCAGGTCACCACCCCCTCATGGCCAAGAAGGGAAGCATTGCTAATGGAAAAAATTGGAAAGACATTAACTGCACTTAACCAGCCTGACACGGGAGAAGACACTTCATGTCTATCTCTTGGACCTTTCCCTCCAAACTCACCATCTGCCAGCAACACAACACTTGAAGAATTCCAGAGAGATTTCATCCTGAGTGCTGTCAGACCTCCACCAAATAGGTCACAAGTCTCTCCACCGACAGAAGCCACCGAAGACCCTTATGACGGTGACAACGACTCACAAATTCAACTCACTCAGCCTGAAGGACTCTATCTCCCTCAGCCAAGTTTCCAGCCACAACTCCCATTCCTTGCAGGGGAATCCCAGGATCCTAACCAAGAAGACCCTGATCCAGAACTCGAAGACTACTACTACTCAAGAAGCTCAAGGAGACACTATGACTCAGATGACCCTGACCCAGAAGGCATCATGAACCTATCCCCTAGCCACGAGCCTATCTATAAAGACTAGGGAACATCATCATCAGAAAATCTCCTTTTGGGATACTCTGAAGATAATGCGGGACCCGCCAGAATCCTACTTTATGTCGCTATCTACTTTTACTTTATAAAAGTAGTTTGTCCTGTAGTCTATTTCGTCCTCTTGTAATAAGTGGAGCAGTTGCCATTATTAGGTGTCATTATGAGAGTAGTTGGTAGTTAGTAGTTGTGATTATTAAATGTCAAGTCATAATGACGTTTACTATTACATCTACCCGTCATAATGAGGTGTACTATTAGGACTTTGTCATGTAGTGCCCCCGAGCGTCTATATAAACCCCACTCTGCCATCAGTTACAGGCAGAAGGAGTTGTATCGACTTCCTTGTATAATACTAGTGTGCTTTCCTCATGAGTTCTCTCTAAATTTCTCTCTTCTTCTGAAAGCCTCACTTATGATATCTTTCTTCTGTCGCCAGAGATTCTAAGTATGCTCTGCACTTGCCTCTTTAAGAGGATCCTGTGCATCAGAAAATAGAATCCGACCACGATCCATGAAGGAGTGTTTGGTGATAATCTTTCCAGTTATCCTAGATCTGGGTATTCGTCGGAGAATGAGTGTTAGCTGAATC